CTTAATAGAGGTTTCACTGTACAAACTAGTAAAAACCAAAGATTATGAAGTGCGGGCGACAACGATCGGAATCCAAACGCTTTTGCCCATCGCTATGCTTTGCGTAAGTTTCACATGACCGATTTTCTTTTTTGACCGATAGTCAAAACACGCGTGATCAGATTTAATACTGGGGATAGAAGGAGGAAACGCAGGTGATCAAATTGCGTTCTGTGCATTCCATCCATTATTGGTGGAAGTCCAAACAAATGCTGGCTACATACATGCGACGCATGCGTAATAACAACCTGGAGATTAGGATTGCGGGCTTCTCTTGTCGCCCGCAACAATGGCCTTAAAATTATGAAGTTTCACTGTTTGGGCGCCTCCGATCCCGTGCACGCAGGCCTGCCGTGCACGAGTCAGATTACAGCCTTGCAAAGTTTTCAGTACGAAAAGGGGAGTAGCTTGAAATTTCCCCAGGGTACGTACGGCTTTCAAATCCCACCCTACCCAATAATAAACCCCGCCTCTTATAAATCACTTCCCCGCGGGGCCACCGGGCGGCTTTATAAGATTTCGGGGAGGTAAACATTTCTCTTGGACGTAGGACTGAATTCTGCAGGAAACAGTACAGCCTTCGCGTGTTGCCGCGTGGCATTATCGTGTGAGGAACTGAAAAACTAGATTTTGAATGGAAAACTTCCTTATAATCACTATTAGGCAGGTGTGCTTTTATCAGCTTTAGCTGGTCTTAGCTTAGCATACGAATTGGGGTTTCTTGCTGGATTCGTTTCGTGTTATTAACGCGAGAGATATTGGTGCTTATGCTATTGGTAGAAACATGGTAGTGTGAAAAACAAGAATAACCTGATTACAGTCGAAGCTAGGCCTTTCCCGATTGCGCTGAGTAGCTGAGCACCTTTTGAGCACTTTTTTGAGTTTGGAGCACTATTTTGCATTTTGAGCACCCTTAAGCACTTTTTCGCACTTTGGGCAACATTTGAGCAATATTTCACATTTCGAGCAAATTTCGAGCAACATATGTCTTCTAAAACATTTTAAAGCAAAAATTGTGTGTCGCTCGCAACGAGAATCGTGTTCCAGGTCATAAATTTGAATAACTAATGATGTTGTCAAGACCGTTGTCATGGAAAGGCACGTGGACTTATCCTTACTGAGCGTGAGAACAGAAGTTTCTGATTGGCTGATGTATCATGCGTGTGTCATCCCTAATTTCTAAATCATCTGATGTCTAGGCTTTGCACTAGTACTGCTGAATTTATTTACAACTCGTAACCGGCTTTAGTTTTTTAAAAATATTATTGTTCTATATTCTATCCACCTTTCGTAACAACCTGTCGAATAACACTACGCAAAATAGATTGTTAATTACTTCAGTAAAAATTGACATATTTACGAAAAGCTTAGAGGTAACTGTTCACAACTTTTAGGAGTTTTAGCACTTTTTGAGCACTATTTTGAGATTTTGAGCACTTTTTAGCCATTTTTGCCAGCACTTTTTTTAGGATTTTACGAGCGCAATCGGGAAAGGCCTAGTCGAAGCTCTCATAAGCTGCCACCTCGGAAATTCGAAAAAGTGGTCGTAACTAGAGCTGGTCGCTTACGAGAATGAGCTCTCGTAAGAGACCGCAGCCTTGGAAACTCATGAGTAATATATAAAGAAAAAACAAAAGAATTCATGTTTAATGGGTGTCTTTATATCTGATACAGACACGGCTTAACTTTACGTCCAATTTCTTAGACCAATATAAGAGTTGGGAGGTCTCAAGTCGCCGTCGTGCAGTTGACGTCAAAGAAATGTACTAAAAAGCATGATAGACGTGCAGAGCCGTTGTTTTGCCCATAAGATAAAACCAATTGGGTTCTTTTTTTGCGTTGTCGTCGTTGTCGTAGTTGCTTCATCCTCGGGGACCCAGGGGTAGTCATTCGGGTCGGGAGAAAAGATGGCACGAAAGTTTTCATTAAGGGCGAAAGAGCCCCTGGGTACCGACTCACACCGGACCATTTCCAAAAATTCAAGCCGATGCCGGCTCCTGATTGGGCACAAAAAATGCTTTGTATTATTGTGCCCAATCGGCGAACACATGTCAACGAGTTCTTTTCGTGTGTTCGTAAATGACGGGCGCGATCCATTCAACCAAACTTTCCGGAAATTTCGGTCCAAAACTCAATGGATCGGCTCGGTCCAACCGGAAAAGTTTCGAAAAAACGGGTCCACCTTTTGAGGTGGTCCTCTTTTCCCGGTCGGACCGGTTGGAATTTTGGTTGAATGGATCGCGCCCGACGGCTATTGTCTCGATCACGGCTTGTCTAGCTTATGCACCAGGTTGGGCGGTGAAACGAGCGCGTCCGAGCAAAAAGGTGTGATGCAGTGGACTAGAACTATGCTTAGAAATGACGCTTGTTTTCGACTTCGGTCAGGGCTTGCGATGTGGTTAGTCCATTAGACACTGCCGCTGTCACTGAATTATGGCGGCTTGATTTGTTTTCTTGCACTTCTTCCCCGTTCCTTTGTGCTGGTACGCTGTCTCCGAGGGGCAAATGTTGCTATTTTTTTGCTGGAGGTTTAATTGGACTAGACAAACATCTCTTTCAAAGGGTTTCTCTTATTACTTCCATGACTCTACCACTGAATTATATTTTCGTTCTACTACTCGCCAATTCGATGTTATTCCAAAATAAAAACAACTAAGTACTGTCTAAAACACGAAAAAAAATCTCATCCATGTCATCCATGGCAAAACTAAAAGACAGCAGATCGTGTTTCATCACTAGATGACGTGTATTTTATAAATGCGTGCAGCTCGTGCAAGGTGAAATTATGCCAATTTCAATCACCACCATCCTTCTTTTTAATTTTGAAAAAAAACATCTCATACGTCTTTCTGTTTCTTCGAAACTTCAAAATTAGTTTCCCCTCAGTTTTTACTGTTTATCTTGTTTTGTTTTAGAGAGAAAAACGGAGAAAAAACCTTACAACTATCCTCAATAAATTTTGTTTATATGCGGTTCCGGATTTGCGACGCATTGCGCCAATCGCCATGGTGCGTTGCACCCGAGAAGCAAAGTTTGAAGCAGTACAACGCCACTATATCAAAATATATCAATCTAATTTTTTGTTATGTTATATAAAATTTATCCCCCTTTAACATATGTCAAAACTGAGGTTAAGAAGTGTTAAGCTTTTGCAAACGAAACGGCGAGAGACGATTAGGTGATATTTAGTGGAAGGAGGAGGTATTCAACACTTTCAAATTAAACTCAAATTTTGGCATTATACGACCAACAAGTTTGACTTATAGGTACACAGACACAAACATATGAAACTGTTTATTGACATTGTTATGAAACGAATTTATCTATTTAAAATTGTAGCCTGAAATTACAGAAAGAAAATAGGATTTCCAGTTTGCAAAAAGGACAATTTCGCCGGCCTTCAAGCGCACCGGAAGCGCGGAAAGAGCGCTCGTGCCAGTCCTACTCCGCATCACACATTAAATGAAGAGCGGAGCGCTCGTTTCACCGCCCAACATTTATCCGCCCTGTTATGCACCAAAGAAATGCACGCAGTCAGGAAACTTTCAGTTTGATATAAAATCCCCATCTGATCCAAGCCGCTTACTTTGTCAAATGCAAGGAACTCTTCCGAACCATATCAAAGTTCATGAAGAGAATGAATTTTGTTATTGCTTGTTTTACTCCTTCGCAAAACGTGAAGTTAGGCATTTTCACGGGTAGTCGTGTAGTTAACGGCAAAGAAATGTACAAAAAAGCGTGATGCACGTGCAAAGTTGTTGTTTTGCCTTGCCAAGCTATTAGTTATTTGAATTTCTCATCGCCGCCGCATCTGAATTGTGATTCTTCAAAAACAGAATATTCTCGGGGCAAATTCAATTGCTCTTGCTGATAGTAACCCAAACTTTTTAACTCATCGGTAATTCCTTTGTTTCTGGTTAGGAACTAGAAAATAAAAGTTTCTCTTGTACGCACAAGCTTGGTGAATGAACCAGGCAAGTGTGGGGTAGTACTTGGTGTAAGACTGCCCGAAATGTACCGGGCCACCGCCCATACTGTTAGTGCTGTGGCAGTACCTGTGGTACCCAGTAGCTGTGTAGTACCTGTAATAGCTGTTGTACCTGTAGTACGTGTAGTAGCTGTAGTAGCTGTAGTACGTGTAGTAGCCGTAGTACATGTAGTAGCTGTACTACCTGTAGCACGTGTAGTAGCTGTAGTAGTTGTAGTAGCCGTAGTACCTGTAGTACCTGTAGTACCTGTAGTAGCTGTAGTAGTAATTGTAGTAGCTGTAGTAGCTGTAGTAGCTGTAGTAGCTGTAGTAGCTGTAGTACGTGTAGTAGCTGCAGTAGCTGTAGTAGCTGTAGTAGGTGTAGTACCTGTAGTAGCTGTAGTACGTGTAGTAGCCGTAGTACATGTAGTAGCTGTAGTACCTGTAGTACGTGTAGTAGCTGTAGTAGTTGTAGTAGCCGTAGTAGCTGTAATACCTGTAGTACCTGTAGTAGCTGTAGTAGTAGTTGTAGTACCTGTAGTAGCTGTAGTAGCCGTAGTAGCTGTACTACCTGTAGCCGTAGTAGCTGTAGTAGCTGTAGTACCTGTAGTAGCCGTAGTTAGTAGTAGTAGTTGTAGTACCTGTAGTAGCTGTAGTACCTGTAGTACCTGTAGTACGTGTAGTAGCTGTAGTAGCTGTAGTAGCTGTAGTACCTGTAGTAGCTGTAGTAGCTGTAGTAGCTGTAGTAGCTGTAGTACCTGTAGTAGGTGTAGTAGGTGTAGTACCTGTAGTAGCTGTAGTAGCTGTAGTAGCTGTAGTAGCTGTAGTAGCTGTAGTAGCTGTAGTAGCTGTAGTAGCTGTAGTAGCTGTAGTAGCTGTAGTAGCTGTAGTAGCTGTAGTAGCTGTAGTAGCTGTAGTAGCTGTAGTAGCTGTAGTAGCTGTAGTAGCTGTAGTAGCTGTAGTAGCTGTAGTAGCTGTAGTAGCTGTAGTAGCT